CATGTACAACACAAACAAGAGAGGAGACAGGACGCAGCCTTGGCGGTGACCAGTGCCAACGTTGAAAGGTTTCGCCTTAACGCCATTTACTCTGGCGCAGCACCTGCTATCAGAATACAGTGAATGGATGGCTATTATCAGCTGGACATCAATCCCGTGTGCTCGCAGGCATGTCCAGAGTCAGTTATCCCGCAGCACCTCCTTTCTAGCACCTTTGCGTAAACTTTACCAAGGTGTAACGCTCCTATAGTTGGAGCACTCCCTGTGGTCTCCCTTCTTGAACAGGAGTACAGTTCCATTTTTCCAGCTAGCTAATGTCTTCCCGTAACCACTGCAATTGGACAGACGTATGTAACGCAGCACATGCCTTGTTCGCATAATGCTTTGAGCATTTCAGGGTGTATATTATCAATTCCAACAGCCTTTCCACTTTCAAGCTTTTCACAGCTTGTCTTAGTCCAACAACTCACCGAACTTCTCCCAGAAATCAGCTTCAGCTTCCCAATGCTTTTGCTGACGCCTTGCTGCCTCCACATATCGCGCGCTAGTAGAAACCTCTTCGTTTCCAAGCCATTTCTTGAATACTGCCTTCTTCTCTTTGACTGCCAGTTGTATCTCTCGTTCCAACCAGGAATATCATTTCTGACCTCCAAGCGGCGGGCCAACCCGTTTAAATCCGCAGCATTCGGCGGCAGCCTCGAAGATGCCACACTTAAAGAGCTGCCACTCAGTTTCCACATCGGTAGTCATCACCGGGATATGTTCAAACCAAGTTACGATGCTGTTTGGAAATTTCGCACTCGTGTCTACCGAACATAACGCCCATCTGATTCTCTGGCTGCTTCTGCCACCAGATCTTCGTATGGTACTGCATTTCTTACAACGTAGCGTACCAGCAACAAGATGGTGATCGGTTGATAGCTCGACGCCTATCTTAACACGAACATCCTCTAGTGAGCGTCTTAGGTCAGACGATACGATTATCAAATCGATCATCGACTTCTGTGCACAAGCTTCCCGGTACCAGGTGTACTGATTCACTCTTCGATGCTCGAAGGTGTTCATAAAGGATAGTCGATTGTTTGCACAAAACCGCAACAACTTCATGCCACTTTTCAGCGTCTACTCCGATATGCGCATTAAAATCGCCAATAAGTAGGAGGAACTCAGTATTCGGCTTTCTACAGAGCACACTGTACTTCGTCAACGAATGAGTCATTTTCCCTCTAAACTTGATGCATAGGCCTCTACCAAAGTCAACGCTTTAGCCTGTTGTAGCTTCAGTCAGAGGATTATCACCCTTCCGCTGATAAGCTTCCAATCGATTATTCTATCGGCGAGGTTCGGTTTTACCAAAACACGAACACTGGCCTGAGCGCGCGTTGTGATATCGACACGTGAGTAACATAGCTTCCACCCGCAGAGGTTCAGGACTCCAGAGCCTTGGCCCTTCGTTGACGAGAGTCCAGTAATGTCGAGCTGGTGCTTTATGGCCTCATAAACTAACTGTTGCACTTTCCCTCTGACTGAGTATATATCCCAATTTCAGACTGTAAGCTCCCACTGGCGGTGTCGTTATCGTGGAACCTTTTCTGACGTGCTGTAATGGCATCGCGCTGTCTGTCTCCTCCGTTCAGAACGGGTAGCGACTCCGTTGCTGACTGGTATCTTCGTCGTCGTTCCGTTGGTCTTCGTCAGTAATTGTTGTGCTGCTAGGCTCCCGGCTGGCAGAGGGCGATGAACAGGTTCTGATTACCGACTTTTTGCAGTCTGTCTCAGTCCCCGAACAGCCTGCGCGGCCCTTGGTACCCCTGGAGAAGACCGAGCCGGTATAATTTTCGATGACGTCGAAATTTTTCGGAGACTTTGCCACGGTCTCCAACCCTCCTCTTTCTCAATCGGGCTTGGGACCGGCAGCGGTGGAGTTTAACTTTATAACAGTTGTTCGTAAACCACAGTTCTTCAAAAATCACTGCCTGAGGGGACCCAAACTTTGATCCAACTGATGATCGTAGCCAGAAGAGAAACTTGAGACTTACGAAAGGGGGTCGATCGTCCGTCCTCATTACCGATTTCCTTTGTTGCGTTAGAATCGTAGGCGATGAAAGGTTTCTGCAACAATGTTCAACGAATTTTAAAAATTTTTTGGCAAAAAACAGGCAACTTAAGTAGAGGAAGCGCCACAAGTTAGAGCGATAACACAGTAGTAAGATGTCAGCCTTCAAAATCCGGAGGTAGCGGTTTTGAATCCAAAAATAACTCTCTTAAATGCTAATCCCCTTAAGCAAAGAATTCATCCACGGTATTTTAATGCCAGAAGATGAGAAACGAGTTGCAGTCATTGATATGCGAACAACATGGGCAGTATGACATTCTCGTTAGGGGCATACCAGAATGGGCGAAACGTACGACAATGCTCTCACATGCGAGCATTTCCTAGGGTTCAATTCGCCTTCACGCACCTGATAAGCTGAATATCCGTAAGGCGACAAACAGCACATGATTCAGACCGAAAGCAAAACGATGGCACCCAGGCATTACCAATGATGCAGAACGCAAAATGGAACCCATCTGCGAAGAAAGGCACATTAATTTTTTTCTACTGCATTGTTGTAAAGCCACTTTTATCTGCGCTCGATAATCTTCATCGATCTGAGAGAGTTGCAACTGAAGTAACAGATGGACAGAAGTGAACAACTTCAGTCTCTGTTCATAAGGTATGCTGAATGCTGAGGTATGCTTCATTATGCTCTGAGAATAGATAGGGACAGTAACTCTAAATCGCTAAGTTCGAGAGGCACAGAAGGGTGACCTAAACTACCCGTAAACTAAACTGATTTAGTGAAACAGTTCATCAACACTGTCTTGAATCCGATCCACTGCAGGTGCTTAAATACCATGCAGCCTGATCTGTTTAAATGATTCCCTAGGCAACTATAAGCAGAGAGCGGTGCGTTTTCGCCATGTAAATGCGGTATCGGCAGATGAAATGTAAAACAGTTCTTAATGCAGAATTTTGCCAGCTCTAGAACCACACCATCAGATATCATAAAAAGAACATAATTAGGAGGGCACCAGCGCAGTGGGTCCTCATGTTACTTTGCATGTCAGATGTTGTGGGTTCAATTACCATGCGAAGCTTATTACAACTGCTAATTTCCTTGAGCAAGAAATGAAGGAAAGTTTGTAACTGTTGGAACGTCGGTCTTCCTGAAACTTTGTTAATGG